TGTACAAAGTTTAGGTGGTGTTTCTAGATAAATGTATTTAGAGATATGGATTATTAAAAGGCATATACAAAATAGTTTAATAAATAACAATATACTTGCATGCTCATAACTAAACATAAAATAGAACATTATGAAGTACCTTAACCTTAAATTCTTTATAATTAAATAATTTAATTCTTATTCTGAATACCACATTATTTATGCTAGATATTTAAATTTTAATTTTCATAATTGTGACTTATATGAATTACATGAAATTGAGTAATGCTAGACTTGAAAGAGATCTATGAAATAAGCCAGTTTCATTACAGGAAAAATATGATAGCAAACAAAGAAAAGTTCCTCTAATTATGTGAAATCAAAGACCTTGAATATGAATGTACACATCAACACTGAAAATGATGTAATTTATATCAAGGGATATAAAGTTTTAGAATAAGCTTACAATCAGGAGTGAAATACTATGTCAAAACAAATTTCATTTTACAGATTATAAAATACAATTTTTCAGGCTTTTAAAGTTTCAAAAAACAACTAACTCAAAATGTGTATTTATCAAAGAATGTGGTTATGTAATGAATGTAATTATGAAGAAATTAATTTTTTTTCATTAGTTTAGCATGTGGAATAGGTTTGGAAGCATCATGTCATAAGGGATGGGAACTTAATATGTTCTAGCAGAGCAGTTGAGAGACCAAGGATACCGAAGATAGCATAGAAAGAGGAGGTAAATGGACTGGCTGATAATGAAAAATTGGAATTGGATGGGAAACCCAAGAGTTTGCAGAGCAAGAGTCTGATATGAAAGGTATTCAGAATAAATTTTGAAATTTAAAAATAGCAAGGGAGTATTTTAGAGGGGCAATATGATGTCAACCAAAATATTAGTTTAAAAATGTCTTTATTATTTCGAAAGAGCATACTATAGGAATACTGCTACATCGATGTTCATAGCAGCACAATTCACAATAGCTAGACTGTGGAACCAACCTAGATGCCCTTCAATAGATGAATGGATTAAAAAAATGTGGCATTTATAAACAATGGAGTATTACTCTGTACTAAAAAATGACAAAATCATGGAATTTGCAGGGAAATGGATGGCACTAGAGCAGATTAGGCTAAGTGAAGCTAGCCAATCCCTAAAAAAAAATGCCAAATGTCATCTTTGATGTAAGGAGAGCAACTAAGAACAGAATAGGGAGGAAGAGCATGAGAAGACCATCACCATTAAACAGGGTCGAGAGACGGGAGGGAAAGAGAGAGAGAAGGGAAATTGCATGGTAAAGGAATGAGACCCTCATTGTTATACAAAATTACATAAAAGAGGAAGTGAGAGGAAAGGGGAAAAAACAAGAGAGAGAAATAAATTACAGTAGATGGGGTAGAGAGAGAAGATGGGAGGAGAGGGGAGGGGGGATAGTAGAGGATGGGAAGGGCAACAGAATACAACAGACACTAGTATGGCAGTATGTAAAAAAGTTGATGTGGAACCAATGTGAATCTGCAATATGTATACGGGGTAAAAATGGGAGTTCATAATCTGCTTGAATCAAATGTATGAAATATGATATGTCAAGAGCTTTGTAATGTTTTGAACAACTAATAATAATAAAAAAATTTAAAAAGATGTTTTTAAAATAATTAATTCATTACAAACCTGCTAGGTTGACAATATCTGCCTTTCCCCACAGTCCCTGCTCGTTCTCTGGCTGTCTGAGCTCAAGGCTCCTCCTGCCCAGGCTGTGCCCTCCCCTTGGCTGGAGATCACTCCCATGTCTCCATTGCCAGGCCTCTTGCAAATGATGGGCATATCTCACCCTGTAGCTTTGTGGCCGTGTGCACATGGGTGCTTACCTGACACCTGAACCTGGGCTTAGGGAAGAGCCAGGACTGGTTGTATAGTTGTATGGGAGTGTTTGTGCCCTTCCAATCAATATTCCAGTTTGTGACACAAGACTTGATCCTCTGGTTCATGACCTTGCACCAGCCCACCCTGTTGGTAACCATGCCTAAGTAAAGTGGATTTTTTTTTCCTCCAAGGTCTGTCTCTGGTCAATGTTGGAAGAAGTCCTAAGATTGGCTGGAACAACTCCACTTGCGGTCCATTCTACTCTCAGTTCAGTCTTTCAAGGCTCAGATGGTTTTGCACCACCTTCAGCTGGCCCTGTGTGGTGCACACTTTCATTTCTCCTTGCCTCTTCTGCAGAATGAGAGGCTTTGCAGAGAGGCTGAGTTTGTGCTTCTGCAATGTGTGCCATTAGCTGTCCTCTTCCTGACCTCAACACCATTTCCCTGTGTCCATATCTGCTTATGTCCCCCTCATTTTCCCCTCAAGGGTAGGCTCATGAGCTATGGGAACCAGTGGAAGACACCTCTCTGCAAAGGGGGGCATCTGCCTCTTTGCGCTCCCTTCTAGTCTTCTCTCCCCACCCCTGGAGATGGCTCTGCTTGGTGACCAGTGGCACTGCCATGAACTGAGCATGGTGGATGCAGTGATGGAAAGGTGATTTACTAAAGGAACAATTAATGGACTGTTGTTGCCAGGAGTTTATCAAGAGGTTGGTGTCCTGGGTTGACTAGTGTCCCCCCCAAAAATATTCAAGCACTGACTCCCACTGTCTGCAGATGTGACCTCATTTGGAAGTAGGGTTTTTGCATTTTTAATTGGTGAAGATGATGTCACATTGGATCAGAGGAGACACAAATCTAATGACTGGTGTCCTTTGGGACATTTGGACATAGACACTCAGAGAAAGGAATGGCCATGTGACTGCAGAGTCTGAGATGAGATTTATGTTGCTCTGAGCAATAAAAAATGGCAATGGTGGCGACTGCCTGAAGCTTGGTGGTGGGAAGAAGCCCCTCTTGTGCCTTCAGAGGGAGGACAGATGTCCTGCCAGCACCTTGACTTTCAACATCCAGACTCCAGAATGGGCAGAGGATTCGGTTCTGTTGTTTGGAGCCACTCAGTTTGTGGCTCTATTATGGCAGCAGAAGAGAACCAATGCAGGGGACAATGGTATTACTTAGTGACAGGGAAGCACCTGGGGTCAGTCCCGTCCACGTCTGATGTGTGTGTGGTGCTTCCATCCACCACTGTGGATTGATGGAGAATATCAACTGCCCCCTGACACAAAATGAGTAAGACCCTCAGCCCTGTCCCCAGGAGACAGGACACACCCACATACAAACAGCAGCTTCCAGAGGCAGCAGAATGTGACAGAGAGGGCTGTAGGGAGTTGCATTGTGTGCATAACGGCCACACCCAAGCTTGGTCCATCCTGACCTTGCAGCTTCCAGGGAGAAAATTCCAGGGGTCCCTCCCAGATCAAACACGGATTTGGTCCTGCACCTCTGAGTTGTCTGCCTCCTGGTTTCCTCTGGGACACCTTCTCATGAAGGCAGATGTTTGGCATATAACAAAGAACCACCTACGGGACTACCACCCCTAGGCTTACTACGAGTACTTCTCTTTAAAATCTGTTCCCAATGGGCCTGCTCAGCACAGGGCCAGCACAGCTGCTGGGCCCAAGTAATACATTTCAACCAACTACATTAAGCTTTTCCATTTTTTGCCAATCTCAGTAGATGATTATGCTCCAGTTGCCAGGTGTTCAACAGTTAAGATCTGTGACTGGGAAATGATTTTTTGAAAATATTCATCACATATGTACATTTGTATTTCTACTGAAACCACCTGGCAACCCCAGGAATATGTAAAAGGGAATCTCTGAGATGTGAGAGAAACAAGCCATGAGAATTGATGCGGGAGCTTTATCAGAATCTCTATTATTCTTGAAATCAGCAATTGATAAACTCATTCAGAAAAGCACTTGCTTTCAGGGATCTAGAGTCCACAGTCGCATGTGCAATCTAGCTTGAAGTTTACGGAATGTGCCTCTGGAAAAACTGGCGTGCCTCTGGCAGCAGGAGGTCCTTTCAACAAGACAGGGGCAGGCTGCTCCTGTGGCGTGTTCAATGGCAGTACTGCCAGCCTAGTCTGGGTCTCCAGAGACACCCTCTGTTCAAATCTACGTTTCAGTGATTAAGAAATATGAAACGTGAGCCTTGAGGGTTATGCCCTGGCATCCCAGGAAACCAATGCTGCCCATCAATGTGGTGCTGGGCTTCTCCATCAGGGAAGAGGACAAGCTGATCCTGACCAGCTTGCCTTGGTTTTTTCCACCTGGAACACAAGCCTGGAGAAGGTACCAGAAAAGCTGGTCAGCGATGCCCACAGTGCCACCTGGACCTCCAGCAGACTCCACTGCTGGTGGGTGGGACGGTCAGGCACACCTTCTCCTGAGCAGTGCTCCAGGAACTTCTCATGAATGCTTTGTTGGAAAAGCAGAGCACACCATAGCCTCAAGACAAGGACTAATCTAGGGCATCTTGGGGCAGGAGACATATGTAGAAACTGCACAATCTGATGTGCCCAAGTGAGGGTGGGTGCAGACAGATGTGTGCCTGGGTATGAGGGATTCTGGTCACAGGGAGACAAACCACGCTCGGGGGGACATGGTGATCCCTGGGGAGGCAAAGGGCAGGCCTTGACGATGTCTCTCATGCTTTCAACTCTTGTGTGAAGCACCCCAGAGCTAGCTGTGTCTTCCTCCACCCTGGGCAGTGGTCACCTCCAGAAGGCCAGAGCAGCCCTAGAGGTGACTGCTGAACCTTGAGGTCTGTCTCCTTCTTCCCAGAGCCTGGACTGAGACGATGCTGATCTCACTCAGCAAGTGCTCCTGGGATCCCCCTGCCCACGTCCTCAGAACAAGGGCCTCTGGAAAGAAAGAGCCTTTTCAGAGATGACCACTGTCCTTTGCATCCTGTGATGCTTGGGTACCTGGTACTGAGACCCCCTGTTGCCCAGGGTATGGATTCAGTGTAAAGTGACTGCTCAAAGACCCTCCCTGAGACCTGCCAGCCCAGCCCTATGCCATACCCTCCCATGGCCATGCAGACTGTTATGTTTTTACTAAAATTCATGAAATAGTTGAGCTTTTCCTTAACCTTATTGAATCTTGCCACACGGTGCCCTCTTGTTCTCAGGACCACAGGCAGGACTTCAGAACATTGTGGGGACAGAATTAGGCTAAAGGGTGAAGGACTTCATTTTACTTGAGTCTCAGCATATTCTGCTATTGGCACTTCTGGGGGAGGGTGTGAGAATCTTTCAATGACATCCCGCCAAGACTCCTAGGACACATTTGGGGTTTGAATGTTTCTAATTTTAAATATGGAAATTTAAGACAAAGGAAGGGGTGTTTGGCTTTGTCTTAGATTTCTCAGATTGAGCAGCTCTTGGAGAAGGTGCTGGGTGTCCATGGGGGATGTCACAGGGAAGCGAAGCCAGGACTGCCGGGGTGTAGGTGCTCCTTCACTTGTGAGGCTGATGGATGTGGTGGGTCCTGGGGGAAGGGGGCTTGTCTATGGAGGCATGAGGTTTCTGGTGAGCCCCCTGTGCAGCCGCTAGGGGGAAGTCCTTTTCACTCTGTCAGGAGAAACAAATGAGCCACTGTGAAAGGGTGGGCTAGGTGCCAGGGCCCACACCCAGTGTCCACTGGTTTTCTGTAGGGAAATCAGGGACTGAGGGGCAATGGGGCAGTGACCTCTCAGCAGCGAGGAGCCCCTCTCCTGTGGCTGGGGGCCGAGGCTCTCAGGGGGCCTCAGGACCAGGGGCGGGGAGGGGAGGGCTCCACAGGGACTGTGTTTGCTGGCTCTGCCCCAGGCCACAAGACAGATGCACAGCAGGACTCACTCTGCCCTGAGCTGGGTGCTGGCAGCTTCCCCTGCTAGATCTTTGTGATCATATCCACATTAGAGGCAAAAGGACCCAAACCTGAGCCTCAGATTTGCCATCATGACTGTGGGCCCGGCCTGGGTGCTGGTGGGGAAGGAAAGGCACAGGAGAATGGGCCTGGTGTTTTCCAGGGGGTGGGGGGGGGTCAGTTGGCTTCTTGCACCAACAGTGGTCTGTGACGAGGTTAGGGTGGGCGAGAGCCCCAGTGTACTTAGTGGAGCCCTGGCCACGGGGTGGCCTCACACTTATGCTGGTGTGGCAGACATGTCTGTCTGTCCCAGGGTGTCTGGATGGCTGTGGCTACAGCTCCATCACAGAGCTGACCTCACTAGTGACCCTTTCTTCAGCATGGCTTGATCAGGACCTGGATGTGCAGAGAGCAGCAGAGCCCAGGTGGCATTATGGAGAGAGCATGCAGACAGGCAGAGTGTAGTCTCCAAGATGAGGGGGATTCAAAGGGTTAGGGTGCAACTAAACCATGGGTTTAACTCGGCAGAGGGCAGAAGAAAGAGCCATCACTAGGACATAGTGGACGGGCATGGCTACATGCTACTAGAGCTATTCATGGACACTAAGTTGTATTTCTTAAATTCTCTTGTGTAATGACATGATTCTTATGTTGATGTTTTAAGTCATTTAAAAATGTGAGAACACTTTTAGCTGAGGTCACTGAAGAGCTCCTGCCCCAGGGCGTGGTTTGTGGAGCCCTGGCTGTCTGCAGAGGGCAGGGGCAGAGGCAGGTGTTCCTGACCACGGGGCAGCCAGGTCCCCTCTGCGGCAGACATGGGCTCCATGAAGGAAATAGGACAAAAATGAAAGTCACAGGCCCCAGGTGTGTGGGGGGGCGCAGGGGTGTGCAGTGTTGCAGGTTAGTCTAGGATGGGTTCCCAAGAACCAGCATCAGGTGGTGGCACGATACTCCCATCTGATGTGGGCGCTGCAGGTGCCGCAGGGCGGGCAGGTGGGTGAGCTTACCCAGGCGATGACTCCGGAGATGAACACAGTCGGCTTAGGTGGGCTGGAAAACAAGGAGGGAAAGGCGGGTTTAACAGGCAGCCACGGAAGGCTGGAACAATGGAGGCTTCAGGCTTCGGGACTGAAGAGGCCCAAGGAGTATGAGAGCAGACCCCTCCCTGGGTGCTGGTGTCCACAAGTACCAGGCGGTGGGGCTTTAAGTCTGGAAAGGCCACTAGGAAGCTTTGCTCTGAAGTGAGTCCAAGCAATAAGTGAGAGAGGAAAACAGGTGGCAGAAGACACAGCTCCAAAGAACTACTTTTGGCTTGTTTTTCTGTCAGTCATTAAATTCTTACTGTGAGGAAGCTGGGCAGTTCTGATTTGGTGGGATTGTGGAAACAGGGAAGTAGCTTCGCTCTGGGGTGAATTTACCTCCCTCTCCACCAGGGGCTTCCCTGCCCAGTGTCCCCATGGAGTCCATGAGTTCCAGAAACTTCTAACCAGTGAGATCCCACAACCATGCAAACTCCTGGCACCTGTGGACCACCAAGCATCATGGACTCAAGGTCCTTATGATGGCAGCTGTCATTTTTTCACCTGTAAATTAATACCTATCTTCCCAAACTGTCAACGGTATCGAGAGAGCAGAATATGGCACCCTAGTAGCATATGATCCTTCATGAAGAGGAGACAAACCAAAGCGCATTGGTGATGACCACTGTTAACATTCGGTCCATGTCTGTGGACAGATGCACATGCTTTTCTTAATAATTTGAGCCCCCAGCTGCCCTGGGAGCCTCTCAATGAGATGGTCCCATCATGGCTGCTTAGTGGCCTTCAGATTTAGGGCTGAACCAGAACTTAGCAGTAGGAATGACCCCAGTCCAGTCTTCCCAGGGCTGTCCATGAATTCTGAGCACCCACAGGAGGCCACTCCTTGGGCTTCTAGCCCAGCCAACACAACCCTGATCAACTGCCGAGGTTTAGCTGCCTGTTGGCTCTTGCTCATTAAGGGAGACATTCAGTGAAATGTGTAAGGAACTCAGAGTAAAGAACATGCTTGACAACAATTGGGTGACAGTGGAGAGGGAGGCTCCATGGGTTGCAGGTGCGCTGGGTGTGGCCAGCTTTGTGTTATGTTCTGCACAATGTGGCTAGTTAGGCTTTGGGGGAGGGAATTTCTGGATAATTATACCTGAAATTGATGGACAATTTTAGGTTAGTGAAGAGAGGAGGGGACAGATAACAGGGTTCCCACGGTAGTGGCCTCCCACAGGGTGGGGATAGCCCTTTGGAAAGGAATCCAGAAATGGTAAATATTAAGCACCACAGAAGTAAATGTTAAATTTTTATATTGAATTATCATTAAATATTTTTAAATGAATAAAGAAGTATAAATTCAAGTATCACCTTTTAAGCCTACTTTGGGAATATATGTTTTAAAATGAACACTGCCTATCTGTGAGCATCCAGATCACACATGATGGGACCCATCCTATTGGCTGAGATCACCGAAGTGCATTCTCATTCCTTGAATGCCATGAATGAGCTAATGTAGCATATTACACACAGGCGCTTCAATCGAAGGCCTGGGTCTGAATGACAGATGCGTAGCACTGTGGGATGTGTGTAAGGGTCCTGTTGTATGTTGCCTGTTTTGCCTTCATTTTTACTAAAGCAACAGTGTAGGGCAATCAAACCTTTTATTTAAAAAAAATGAAAACATATCAATAGTTACAGGATTTGAAGTTACCTATTCAGAGTAGGTTCAGTCTGTATGTATGTGTGTGTGTGTGTGTGTGTGTGTGTGTATCTGTATGTGTGCATACATGTGTGTGTATTTGTATAAATGTGCATACATGGAGCCACATATATTTATTAAATTTGCATGCCTATGGGTTTATGTGTAAAAACATGCACACTGCTTAGAAGACACAAACTGTTCATACTCCTAAAGGTCCCATTTACAATATTAGCAATGTTGCCTGCTACTTTCAATGAATGAATAAAAATATCTAAATCTGATCACCATGAGGCAGTATTTCTTGAATAATATGAATAAATATTATTCTTCTGTAGAGCAATATTATGCCATCTAATTTAAAAAGCTACTTTACATTTATTCTTTAAATTGAGTCTTATTATAATTAGGCAATACATTGTAACAGACTATTATTGTTATTATTTTACTGGATCATGAGAAAGTCTGGGAAAGAGATTAAATAACTTACTTTGGTAATATATTTGGCAAATAATAAACGAGGGATAATAAATGATGTTCTCCTTAGAAGTGGGCTTTGGAGCTTCCTACAAAGTTGAGAGAAGCTACTGCTCTGGAATCACGTTCAAGTCCATGGGGCCCGCTTCCATTCTTTCCACTTCCCTGTCGCTTCCACACACTCCTCTTTATGTTTTCTGTGTGTAAGAACTAGTGCCTGGTCAGCGTATAGCTGGCTTCTATTCTTTTATTATGGTAAAACATGTTCAACATAAATTTTATATTTAATTAACTACTTATGGTGTGCCATTCAGTGGCATTAAGTATTGTGATAGTAAGAGCAAATGTGACTCCATTTTGTTTAATGACTTCATCCTGTAAAACAACCATGCCAAGTAGAAGAGTCATGACTGGAGCAAGATGTTCTTTTCCTTTTGCTATAGAAACGTTTAAGAACATGGAACTACCTAATGGGGTATTGTTTCTGTAACTAGGGTAACGGGGCTCAGTTTCTGTAACTGGGGTGACTGGGCTAACTGTGATTAGTTAGACTTCCCTCCACTTGACTGCACTGTCCCACTTCTGTAACCTGGCTTGCTTGCATTGACTAGACTCCCTGAACATCCCTTTTGCAGTTTTCAGGCTTATAAGAAATGCCCTTGCAATTGTTCGGGGCTGATCAGGGGAACAGCTTTATTTTCTGGTCAGCCACCACCAGTGTGCTTCAATAAAGGCTTGATTCGATTATATGTGAGTGGTCTGGAAGTGAGTTTATGAAACCCTGGGACAAAGCTTTAACTATAACAGTATGTCCACAATGTTGTACGATGATCACCATTTCAGGACATTTTCGTCATCCCAGAGAGAAAGGATGTACTTAAACACTAACTCCTTATGGTCCCCTCCACCCAGTTCCTGGTTACCACTAATCTATTTTCTGTTTCCATAAATTTGATACTCTAGGTACCTCATTGTGGTAGCTTTTTTGGCACTGTGATCAAAATACCCGATAAGAACAATTTAGAGGAGGAAAAGTTTATCGTGGCTTACAGCTTCAGAGGTCTAGTCCATGATCAGGTGATTCCATTGCTCTGGGCCCATGGTGAAGCAGAGCATCATGTTGGAAGGGCATGATGGAGGAGAACTGCTCAACTCATGGAAGTCAATGAAGCAGAGAGAGAAAGGGAAGTGCTGTAGGTAGATGCACTCCTCCAAGGCATACCCCAGGGACCCACCTTCACTGGCCACACCACACCTGATTACAGCTAACATCTATGTTATTCCATTCAAACTAGATGGACTGATTAGGCTATATCTCTCACAATCCAAACAGTTCACCTCTGAATATTTCCGCAACAACACAAGAGCTTTTGGAGGATACATCATACCCAAACTATTGACATGCTATTCATGTAAATGGAATCACACTGTATTTTCTCTTTTATGTGTGGCTTATTTAAATGCTCCTTTGTGTGTATATATCATACTTTCTTTGAACATTCATCAGTTCATGGGCATTTGGACTCTCTCAACACTTTGCTTTTTTTCTTTTAAATACGAAAAGGGTAAAAGGAATTTCACAGAAGATATTGGATGTGAGCAACAGGAGATCGGGGTCCTTGGGGGCCACACTATGGACTTGCTCCCTGAAACAGGTATTGTTAATTCACACAGTATAATGGATATTGGGATTTTTTTAAAGAAATGATTAAGATTGTGATTATTGCTTCTTTGCAAACTCAAAAAATATACAGAAGAAATTATATAATCCTAGTCATTCACTAATTCATCAAACATTCAAAACAGTATATGCAGGAAAAGTAAATGAGAATCCAGGATTTTTTTTCACAGTCAGTGTGACATAAATGAGTACCTTCATCTAATATTCCATTAGTTAATTGTCCAGAGAGTGACTGTTTCTTGGTGTGGCTTTCATGTCAGTGTTCTCCAAACATCTGTCTTCGAACCAACTTCCCCCCGCTGCCCCTTGTAAGGCCCTTTCATTCTATTGCAGAGACTGTTCTTAACTCCAAGGTTATTTCAAGGCTGCATTTCCTGTGTTCTAAGAGGTTGGTGGTGACCTTATGCTAAGCAAAACACTGGCTAACCTAGGCTGTGCCCATGTGTCTTTGGAAGTGTAACTACTGTTTGAATTCCAGAGATGTTGAGAACCACTGGGCCACAGTTGAAAGCTGGGGAAGCACCCTGGATCTTACTGCCACATCCTTCAGTACAGAGCAGCTGTTCAAGGTACACTGGGTTTTCTGACAAACGGCCCGGTTACCAAACACAGTTTTAGCTTCATGAGTGTGCTGCCTTTTCTCTGAAGAGTCCTCCAAATTGGTGGCCCACGGCTATGCTCCACTATGAGATTTTACACATCAGATACAGTAAAGAAACTAAGGAAATAGTGAAATGCCTTCAGAAAACTGAGCTAAATGATGAAAAAGTGAGGATCCATCTTCCATTTCATCCTCCAGAGCATGTTGGCACATAAAATGTGCTTTAAGTACAGAGGCATGACAGATGCATGACCCACTCAACTTCCAACCAGAGCCTTCTCCTCCTCTTTGCCACCCTTCTTTCCCTTCTCCTCCTTGTCTTATATAATTTAGTGGCTGCTAGAGCATAAGTGGTTCAACAATCCAGTTCAACTAATTGAACATGATCTTCAATAGATGAAAAAACGAAGTTACTGGACTTGTCAAACTGTAATATATCATGAGCAATGGAATCTCAATTTAAAATGTATTTTTTTCTTACTATAAGATGCCAATTTTCTTTTTATCAATGTCAGTATCTCCAAATTAATGAGCACTATTAGCTTCAAAACTCGAGAAGCAATGGGAATTAATTTCAATTAGTTAACAACTGACAGTCAACCTCAACCTGCCTTGCAAGACAATAAATGTTTTGAATACTACATTTTAGTCCTCAATTAAATGTTCACACTCAGATGATGAAGAAAAGTTACTTATGACATCAAGCCAGATATCAATGCTAGATATCATATGACATGACCAAAGGGGATTTCAGCTGTTCATTTGTGATGGAATAAACAAGGAGGGCTTTGAGAATGAATTAATTAAAATATCCTAAAAAGGAAAAAGCTTTTCTACAGTAGGATAAGTGGAAGAGCAAAGAGGGGAAGTTCCTAATTAGGAACTGACCAAGCTCTCTGAAAAACACAGGCCATTTAGAATAGCACATGACTTCAAAAGGTAGAACACAGCTCTTTGGTGTCTATTAAACACATAGACCCACAATCAGAAATGGACCTTTCAAAAATCTCATAGCTACCATGACAAGTCCATATTTATCATATGGAAAATACTCTTATGAATATGTATTTTTAGTTTATAATATCTTATCAAAATGGAAACACTGATAAGATAGAAAATACTTTGTCATGTGTCCTTTGTAACACTAATAACCATATGTTTATGCAAATTTTATAGATCTTACCTCTGAATAAATATATGGAGAACCAGTAAATGAATAGATTATGTTTATATATAAATATACATATACACACATATGTATACATGCATATATAGTCAAACATAATCTATTTATCAATCTGCCACATATCCATATTGCATATCCACATACATGTATGTGTGTGTATGTATAAAATACATAATATATCCATATCTATGCATTTATATCTATACATATAATCTATGTGTACAGATATATAAATATAATGGATACATACACATGTCATTTGCCACAAACATATAATTAAGTCTAGGGCTATTAAGATTATTCTAGAAGACAAATCCCAAGGGCTGATGGAAAAAATGAGCTTATTCTGTCACCAGAATTTTTTTTGTTTCTTTTTTTCTAATTAGGGATTCCTCTCATGGGAACCAACCTTAGATAACAGTGCTGTCCTTCATTTAATAATCTCATTCAAGTCAGGACACACAAAACTTACTTTTTAAAATTCCTTTTGAAGCACCAACTCTTCTTGGAATTCCTTAAAAACCACATTCTAGGGGCTGGGGTTGTAGCTCAGTGGCAGAGCACTTGCCTAGCACATGTGAGACATTGGGTTTGATCCTTAGCACCACAAAAAATAAGTAAATAATAAACAAAATAAATGCATGATTTCATCTACAACTATACAAAATATTTTTTAAAAATTAAAAAAAACACACATCCTGGAATCTCAAAAAAGTGTCAAGTGAGAAATGAGCAGGAGGAACACACAGGTTTTAAGTAAATCTAGACATTTTACTTGTATACTGGATTTTGCAGTGTCCTCTCTGGGTTTGGCTCTCGGAGTTTCCTCTCTGAGTCTCCAGGCTGCTCTCCTTCTCTATATTTCAGAGGAAAATGCTCCCTTGGTTTTGGCTTTCACATCATTTTTAATATTCGCACTCCTGCTGTCTTAACCATTCTGATCGTTTATTTCAACTGAAGATAGAGATTGATTTCCTTCAAATAAAGAGGATTTCCCCCCCTCATTCGTACATTCACATACCTGAGACATCACAAAGTGATTCAAGGACTGACTTCCTCTGTGAGACCCCACTCCCTTTCCAGTGTGAGGAATCCCACAGACCACACATGTAACAGCACACACAAAGTCATCCTGAGATGATGGACATTACCCAGGCGTGCATCGGGAAGTAATATGATTACTGTATTAACCTTGCAGCAGGTGGAATAACTGTGTTAGTGCATCAGTGGGGGAGAGCTATGCCAGGAAGAAAGGACAGAGTCAGCTTTTGCTACTGAGTGTTGGCTCCAGCTAGTTTGGATTTTGTTTTTTTGCTTCAAGGACGTAGGAAGACCAGAATGAGTGGTGCCCACTTTAGAGAACCAGGACTTGGGTTCTGAAGACCCTTCATACACCTGAAGGCCTGGGGGGTGATGAGATCCCCAGGGGCAGTCAGCTCTACTCCAGGTGTGAGCTACATGCTCACCTCTGAACTTGGGCTAGAGTTTGCTTTACTGATAACGTGTGGACTGAGTGGGGCAAAGGAGTTGGCTCCCCAGAGGAAAGTCTGTTCACCAGGCAAGCACTAAACAAAGGTCTCCACCATCACAAGTGATGGAGAGCCTGCTAAGGAGTCATTAACTAATTGGAACCCTGGATACAGATACCCTTCAGTGTGGCTGCCTATTTTCATTACCTTTAACCATGCACTATCATGGAGTCTGCTATGCTAGATCCTGACAGTGTAAATCAGATGGGGATGTAGGATTAGAAATCACTTGTTATTTTTAAAATGCAATTGTTTACTCCTCCAAATAGTTTTGAAGACAGGAGGCAAAATAGCATCCTAGAATGGAAAAAAATCAACATTAGCACAGACAAGTATTATGTGTAAATATTACTTTCTTTTAAAGTGAT